AAAACAAGGTCGCCGTAAGAGAACCAGCAGAAGCATTAAAAAAAAAAAAAAAACATTGATCACTAATCAAACATCCGCGCAGACCAGCAAATGCAACACCACCCCAACAAAAAAGGTAAAAAAAGCGTAGCAGGAAGGCCGTGCTGCACGGACAAAATCCTGGAAGAAAACCAACCTTGCAACCGCACCGTGCGACGTACTGCCCGGTACACCGCACGGCGTGCGGCGCGGCACCTGCTCGTGTGTCGTACCAGTGGCAGTTTCCCTTTTTTTTGCTATCTTTTGCTGTTTTTGTAGATACAGAAGAGTGCAACAGCCAAGGAACCGATCTTTTTCAAGTACAGTTGTACATGATTTTCTTTCCGTCCAATCGGGGATGAGACATAGCCTCAAAAAGATGTCTGAGATATCAGTCTTGACCTTCAGGTAGCGGCATTACCCTCCAACTTGGCTTTTTGTTTTTTTTTGTCCATCCCACATCAAATCTTTAAGGGGACGCAGGTGGCCATTGACCGAGCCATGCGACCCCTTTTTTTTTCAACTGAATATTTTCCCGTGTGCCGCACAGTGCGGGTCCGCTCGTGCGCCAAACGTGAGGAATTTTCTGCACGGCATCCGCTTGAACGTATGCAGAAAAACTAATCAGCATTCTTTTTTGGAAGTTCCCAAATTCACTCGTCCAAGTGCAACATCTCAAACCAACGGAGTACAACTGCAATTTTTATACCTCCCGTATTCTCTCTTTCCCAACTCCTTCCATCCTCCAAACACAACACAACACAACACAACAGGTTTCTCTCCGCTACCTTCAACCTTTGCTTTTTAAACCTTTTTTTCTTGTTTTTGGTTCAAAATTTGCAAACTCCCGCACCAATATTCGGTCTTAACCACTGAAACGTCAACACTTCACCAATATTCTTCTCTCCCGACTCCTCCCGTCCTCCGAGCACAACACAGCGGGGGCATCTCCACTGCTTACCCTGCAACCTTGTGACTTATTTGATCAAAGTGTGAACTCAAATTTCTCAAAATCCTGCACCAATAGTCAGTGTTCCCCACAGGAACCTCGACACTTCACCATAGGCCTGTGACTTCAGTTGAACTCGTTCCCCTGAAGAAGACACTTGGAACTTGAGCTCAAGTATTAGACCTGGGTAAACGTTTTAAATGCAAAACCGGACAAAATTCAGTCGAATAATCTCGGATTATCAAACCGGAAAATACGATGAAGTGTGCGGGCAAGATACATACCTCCGTAATGGGGTGTGCAACCACTCAGCAGCAGTACGGTTGACGTGTTCACATAAAAAAACCACCACTACTTCCGCGCCACGTTTTATGGGGCTCCTTTTAACACAATGGGTACCAAAAAAAAAAGAACTGGCATGGGTCTTGTTGTGGCTGGCATCACCAACCATTTTGCTCCGGCTGCCAACCCCCGAAAGTTGCGGCGGCAAACAAGGCGCATCGGAGAAAAAATGAGAAACGTACTGGGGAATGAATGTTGACTGGGGAATGAATGTTGCGCATCGACCTTCTCACCGCACACCATGTACCTAAAAGAAACAGTTAAAATAGTCTTCTCTTTTTCGGTTTTCTTTTCAGACTTCTGTGGAGAAGTCTAAAAAATCCGGTAACAATAAAAAATCCAGCGACTCTAAAAAATCCGGTAACTCTAAAAAATCCGGCGACTCTAAAAGATCTTGTGACTGTCAGACTTCTACATAAACTAAGTAACAACTCCTGCTTGTACCAGTTTAGTGCGTGCGTAACCCAGTCGGGGGTCGGGAGACGGCGATGTGTAATCTGCCATTGCAGAGCCCTGTGGGAAGTCGGCAGTATGTGGGCATAGGTGGGCCGGGTGGCGTTAATAGCCGTCCAGACCACGTTTAATTGCGGTTTTAAGTTTTAACGGTGACTCAACGCACACTGAATCTTTCGACGCCAACCCCGCGTAGAATCCCCTCCCAGACGCTCACCCCAACAGCGGGCAAGGTAGTGGTGGTTTAAACTTTAAAGCTTCAAAATTGAACAAACTCATCTACTCTGAACTTTCCAATTTTGGTGGAGCACTAGGCCAAGCACCCTAGATGGCTCCGGCTGCCTGGATGGTCCAGGCGTTCAGAGTCCCATGACATGTACCAGAAGGCCCCAGTCTTAAAAGAAAGAAAAGGGCGGGGGGGAGGGGAGGGGAGAAGAAAAAAAAAAAAGAAGAAAAGGCAGTAGTTCTACAGAGTCGCCCACCACCTAGAGATAGACCTGTCTCTTATACACATCTAGATGTGTATAAGAGACAGCTCACTTCACTCACAAACTCAATCCTTCTTCGGGAAAGGTCA